TTGGTCGATCTCTCTTTTCCTCTCTTTCTAGCTGGACGTCGACAGAATAAGTAACTTATAAACAGAGAGGAGCAATGCCAAAAGTAGTCAATGTTGATCATCAAAACATACATAATCCAAAAGAAAACCATACAGATCGCTAAACATCACCTGTTCTTCATAGTTCCACATTTACAACTACCGCTCAGGCTGGGATGGGAATAATGAAAAGACACCAATTAAAGCAAGAGGTGCATTTCTCTGAGATTACAGATGACTTCTGCAATGAGTAAGCGATAAAATAGGCTTTAACAGACATCAATATCGGATGCTAGTGAATCCAGCACTCCTTCACCAGAAAGATTGAAGCTACCAGTGAATATGGCTTTCTTGAAAAAAATTATCACCCACCTTTTTCGTGATTTTTCTCACTAGCTTCAAGTCAAGCCCACCAGCCAAGACCAGTTTCCTGACTATCTCAACGAAATTGGCCGGTGCTTTGGGGATATCAATTGCAAGATCATCCGACGAAGAAGCATAGAGGAGGCATCCAGTGCTCAAGTCATTAACAGTGAAAACTTTCTTAGTAAACAAGTATTCCAGAAGCTTCACAACTGGCTCTATACATGGTGGATATTTCTCCAACCCGAGGGAAATGGACGCCTTGACAATTACAGGACGGTAAGCCGGGGACTCCATGACACGACCCGTCCCGACTCAACCTAATTGACTCGACACGTGTCGTGCACCGGTAGTAGATGCCAGCCAAATGTCGGACCCACCACCAAGGCAAACTTGACCTATTTTGACTGTGCTAATTTCTATGAAAATTTTGACAGAACTTCCCCTGTAACATGGACAAAACCAACCTGAAAAATCATCAAAATCTCAAATAGACATTTAAACCAAAAGTTTTGGAAACTACCACTTCCTCTAATACCACCACAACTACTACAAAATATAACAAAATTCGACTGAGTGCTTCTACAACATCATCCTCTCAACATGCAAGTATTACATCACTTACAAACCCTTCTACGAATATGCTTGTCACCCAAAATTAGACAATTACGTAATAAACATAAGTTCCCCAACTATTCATTAAATACTTATGAAACGGTCTCTTTTGCTTCAGCAGGCTTTCCCAAATATCTCAAAATCGACCTTCTCCTGATAGGAAAACATGGTAAAAAGATATGAGTTTATAACTCAGTAAGTGGATAGTTGAAAATAAATAAACTTTTCCATTTATGCTATTTTCTGAAAATTCTTGCACTATTTAACGTTAAGAACTTCTAAAAAAATGGTAACACTTTTAAAAAAAACTAAATATGATCATATCATAATTTCTTGGACATAATTCTAGAAAGGCAACTGTACAACATAATGACTATAAATACTTTGATATCCATGAAAAATTATGAAATATTGCTGCCTTAATACTATAAGCTGAAAGCTTTATTCTGAAAACTGAATTAACTGAATTCCATAATCTGAAATCTGATAATAGAATAAATACTGAGAAATCACACCAAAAAGAGTACCCAATGAATAGCCTTACTCGTGTACAGAGTAATCTCAATGTACAAGGCAAAGCCATTCAAATCTGATAATCTGGTCATACGTACGTAGAGCTGCCCCAAAGGCTAATCACCCTAGTACACGGCCCAAAGTCTATGTGTGTACGAGAGTGGGTCCCAAAGACCTCTGATAATCTGGTCACACACTATGGAAACACATTCACAATAGTGCAGAGCGGGTAAAATCACTGTAACTAGTCATACACTGTGGAAACACATTCACATCAGTGCAGACTGGGATAAAATCACCTAGGTACTTTCTGATGGTTTTAAAATAACTTTAGCTATACTGAAACATTTATATTCATAAAACATGCTAGTCAAATGATTTAATTGAACTGAATTTAACTTTAAAAGCAATTGTCAATAAAATCCAATTTATTCTAAAAATCATGCTATGAAGTCAACTTTATACAATAAATAACTTTAAAATTTAATGAAGACTTATTTCTGAAAAATAAGTTTTATCCACTCACAAGGTATGAGCTACAAGCTAGATAGGCTGATAGAAGTTTCCAATCGCCTCGTTACCTCCTGAAATACGATAATGATAACCAATTTAACCACTATCAAATCGAAAAACCTTAATATCTAATAATAGAACTTAATTTAAATGCTCTTGGTACTTAAATAAATTCTCAAATTTTCCTTTATTAATTGGAGCTAATCACACCTTATAATCCCTTGGTTAATCACTATTCCTTTTTCTTTTCCTTTTTCCCTTCTTCTTTTCCTCTTTTTCTCCTTCTTTCTCCGTCCCTGCTTCTTCCTGTAGGGTACTCTATGTGTGTGTGAAATAGCGTGAAATTTGGATCAAATGGTTGAATTTATTTGTCCACTAACCCATAATTGCAAACTAAGTCCTTAACTTCACTTTTTAGTAACGTTTAATCCTTTAACTTCCAAAAGTATATATATATATATATATTCCAAACTTTTAAATATATCCAATTCAACATTTATATTTTGCCAATTGCAAAATAACCCAAATAAAATATACCTTGCTGAAAATTTGAAATGAATAAATCCCCACACTTGAGCTCCAATTCGTGCAAAGACCCCTAAAATTCGACATATTATTCAACAAGTTAAAACCCTAAAATTTTTAACATAATTCATACTTTATCACCTAAAACAAATGGAAAATTTCAACCCAACTTGAAGATATCAACCTTACCTCATTTCCTCTTCTTTTTCCCTTCTTCTTTTCGTTTTTCCCTTCTCCTTTTCCTCTTTTTCTCCTTCTTTCTCGGTCTCTGCTTCTTCCCGTAAGTTACTGTGTGTGTGTGTGTGTGTGTGAAATAGGGTGAAAATTGGGTCAAATGGTTGAATTTATTTGTCCACTAACCCATAATTGCAAACTAAGTCCTTAACTTCACTTTTTAGTAACGTTTAATCCTTTAACTTCCAAAAGTATATATATATATATATATTCCAAACTTTTAAATATATCCAATTCAACATTTATATTTTGCCAATTGCAAAATAACCCAAATAAAATATTTAATTTCATTTTAGTCCTTGATTGACTTTGACTTTGACTAGTCAATATTTGAATTTTTTACTATAAAAATTGGATTGTAACACTCCAGCTCCTTGATGCATTGTAAAACTTCATCCAAAAGTCTGACACAAAAATATCCCTCCAGAAGTGAGATTGTTTTTCTTCTGAGTGCATCCGGCTTCTTTATTATAAGTGGAGCCACTGGTACAGTTGATGCCATTCTACTTGGGGCGGGAACTTGCGATCCAGGGCCTACAGCATAATCTCCATAGCAACCAATGCCATTAGCAGGAAGGGCACCACTATTCCTCATGAAACCACCACCACCCTGAGGCAGAAGTATCTGGTTCAAGGACAGTGATTTTATCGATGGAGGTTGGAAATGCCCAGTAGGTTGAACTGTTGAACCATCAGCTATTGGCATTGACAGGGACCTAGGAACTTCACAGTAATTATCAATTCCGGGCATCCCAGGTAACATACCCACTGTGGTAAGTGAATTAATAGGCAAGCCACCAGGACCAGAATCAATGCCCCCATTATTCCTGATGCTAGCAGTAGCACCTGGCTGTGATACAATATACTTCTCAGCTTCTGCGAGGATCTCAGTGATGGTTTTGGCTTTCACCTGGAAAATCACATAACAATGTCATAAAGTTTGCAAAGGAAAACATCGTAGAAAGAAATTAAATAGGCTAGGAGGGATCCACCTCTTCCAGTCTGGGAACCCAATTATTTGAATGCAAATGAACAACATCACGAATCATAAACCTCAGTCGTGGAGCTAGCTGAGGGTTTGCTGACACTTCCTTCAAACGACCGAAATAATTATCATTAATTAGCCTTGATTTTCAGTTCTCATCAAGCTGTTCCCAATGATGACAAAGAACAGGCATATGGCTTCAACATTCTCCTCAGCTGGACAACTCTTCGTATCAGGTCCTATGAGTTCCTGTCTTGTAAAACCATGCTGTAAGACCATCTTAAAAATAATAAAGACAAATCAAGATGCTAGGATGAGAGAGAGAAAAGGAGAGAAAGATCAATCAAGGACCTGAACAATGTGGTGGACAATCTTCTCCGGAACCATCTTTTGCTTCAAAAGCTCTCCTATCAGGTGAATGTTCCCGAGAGTACGGAGTTTGAACAACCTTTCTTTATCTCTTCTTTCCAACTCTTGCTCAGGGGCAGTCATCTGCCTGAGCTCTGCCCGCAATTTGTCAGCATCTTCAAATGCCTCCTGACAGATATTCAGAAGAACTCTCTTAAATGTGATTTCTTTTCCACCAGGCTCATCAGATGGGAAGGGAGGAAGCTTCTCATTCAGATCAGAACATAGTTGTGCATACATCGGACAAAATGTTGGCTCCAGCACAGCCTTGTCAGATATCAAAGAGACAACTCCCTGCACGACAAATAAAACAGCAGAAGTACAAGCATAATTAGGCTACGAGTATATGAAGACATAAAGAAGAATCAAAATCCCAGCATAAAGACACGAGTTTGTGATCCCAGATTCGACAAGTCGACTCTTGAGAAGATCAAATTTCTCAGGAGTCTTCTTGTTCAGTATGCTGCAACAAGAATGTATTGGACAGAATCATTCGTTAGCATAGGAAGTATGTCAGTAAATAATCCTAAAACTAGAAATAGATATAAAACCAACAACCATCAACAGCATCTCCACCATCGGATCCTAGCTAGGACATCCGGATAGGAAATTATTATCTTCATTGTGTGCAGAAGCTAGATTGTCACCAACATATAGTGATTGAGGCGGATCATGAACTTACAGACATCAAAAAGAATTTGGATACAAGTAATACAAAAAAGGGATGGTGGTGGAACTCAATTGCAATAATAGCAGCTACAAAGCAGAGAATCTCCTGCTAAGGTTGTTAATTCAAGAATCCAACGTCGACACTGCCGTAATTTTTATATACTTTAAATTTCCAATACTCGAGGGACACTTCTTGAACTCGCCTCAGAAACATTTCCAACACATATGTGGCATGTCACAAGGACAACTGTCTCTACACGTCAAGGCATAAAAAGCCACATGCTGTAAATTTTGGAACATAAAATTAGTTAAAACATTTAATTATCAAAAGTTAGTGAGAAAAAATGACAATAATGTGAGAAAAACATGATGTATTTGTTTTATTTCTACTGTATGCATTTTCTTGCTCTTTCTGTAGTAATTTATAATTTAACCCAAAGATATCTTAAATCACTCCTCTGATTCAATAGATCTAAAATGGGCAAAACCCTAAACTAAAAAAGTATTTATCTTTTCAGAAAAATATTTATAAGAAAAGAAATTGTATAAATGTATAATTTTAAAAATTATAAATCAGTATCCCTGTGTGTCCATGTCTGTGGTTTCGAGAATAACATATTGCATATTTAAATATGTTTGAGTTACCGAACAACACACATTAAATGAAGACCGACACTGGGAAAATTACCGTTTCACTGTTCTTAGGACACGCTCCTTCTCAGGAAGAGTCCCCCTCCAAGCAGAATGGAGCACCTCTTCCTTGATTAAAGAGGGAGTAGGCCCTCCCTGTTTCATGGACAGAAGAAGCAGCTCACTATTGTTAACATTTGTAATAGAATCTGGCATAATAGCACCAGGTTAACTTACATAATCAACACCAGTAATCATCTTCTTCGACATGTCATCATCAGTTGCAAAGCTGATCACATTATCGATGTCAGTTCCCTGACTCTGCAGCATATCGTCAAGCTGCAAGAATTAAAATGATGAGGAAATATAAACCTGGCGAAATTATTTATCAAGTACATATTCACACAGCACGTCAACTGGTGTATAACCTTTTCCGCCTGAATCACTGTCTTCAGGAAACCATCAAGAATGAATCCCTTCTGACAAGAAGGTTTCTTCAAGTCTTCATCAATTAAACCAGCAACTTCCTCATCAAGAACAAGTTTCCCCTAAAGAAGAAAAATTATCATTTACAAAATAATCAATCAAAACAGCAAAATCTGAAGGGGACATATCTTAACAGTTTCATCCAGTGTTAATATCAAGGGAGTAGATTTCTACCTTAACTATAGCTTCTTCATCCTTTTTGGCTACCAGAGTATTAGCTGCAAAAGCAGCTCTCAACATATCATCAGTGGCCAAATGGCACAGACAGTACTCATCGTTGATGGGGGATTGAGTACCTCTTCCCGAACCCGATGGCCCTGTCACAAATCAAATTTTTTATTCATACAACTACCGACGCAATTAGTCCCATTTTCTTAAACACCACCAAATCTACTTTTATTGCCATGTTCTCCAGCACGATGAATAAGTAAACATATACATACTAAAACAAAGTGCAATGAGACTTTCTAATATTACAAAATAATAATCAGCGTACTTTCAGCCATTGGTGATCGTAGAACCTGTTAACGAATCATTAGAACAAGGGTTTAAAAATTCGTAGTAAATGAATAAAATTAGCAATGACAAAGGGACCATAATTTGCAAGTTCAAATTTGTGACATTTCTACACTTCAAAACCATACCCAACTAATGTACTTTAATTGACAATGTCTAATAATTCAAATTCTTGATATATCAATACTCTTGGTGAAAGTTCGCAACTTTACACAAAAATGGCGGGAGAAAAACCCATAAAAATTTAATCAAAACATAAG